AAAGTGAGAAATCCCCCCCCCCAGGGAGGATGGCTATGCCACATTCCCATCTCTTCCATTCTCTTTTAGGGATTTTTGGGCATGTACACGCACACACACACATGGCATAATCTGATGTTCCCGAGAAGGCAGCTTCTGAAACTCTAGCTATTAGTATTATGTAAATAAGAATTACTCAACTTGGAAAAAATGTTTTGTAAAATGTAGCATGTTCTTGATTCAGAAATATCCTTCCAAAAACTGTTAAAAATCTCTGTAAGCTTACTTGTACTGTGGTAACGCATTACTTTTTTTTTTTTTTTTTTTTTTGGGAGAGGTTTTTGCTATAGGGCGTGTGCGCTTGCCAGACAGACAGAGAGACAGAGAGATAGAAAGCGAGAAATCACCCCCCTAGGGGGGATGGCTACACCGCAGTCCCTTCTCCTCCATTCTCCTCTCGGGATCTTGGACACGTACGCACACGCGCCCGGCGTAAGTTTAAGCCACCAGGTCCAGGAATCGAACCGCGGTTGACTACGTGGGAGTCCAGTGACATAGCCGTTATGCTAACTGCTGGTCCCAAAGTAACGCATTACATTTTTGTGGACAGATGGATTATTCACTGTTTTAAAATTGATTTTTATTCATTTTATTCATTCATTTATTTTAATTTGACTAAAGAAAGGCAGAGAGAGAGAAAGTGAGAAAGCAAGCCACCAGGTCTGGAACTCGAACCATGGTCAGCCATGTGGGCATGTCCAGTTCTTTAATCACCACGTCACCTGCTGGACCCAGATGGATTATTCGTTCTTATTAATGCTGAGTTGGTCATGAACCTTGCCCCTTTTTGTTCCTGTGACTTGTCTATATTACCATAGATATATGTGTGTGTTTTGATAAGGGAACTGCATGGCAGTGATCTTTGTCTTTACTTTTGTCTACATGGCACTAATCAGTCTCATTGGGAGCTATAAGTTTCAGTAATAAGAATTTTCCAATTTGGTACTGGAGAATTTAATGGTACTGAAGCATTTTGAAAAATTTTATGCCTGGATACATTTCTTACTTTGGTTTTATAAATTACAGGGTTAACTACATAAGTAAAACTCATTACCTATTTCAATTACAGACTCAGATGTTTAAAAGTCATGGAATAAAAACTTAAAGCGCACACTTATCAGTGGTGTTGTATATCTTTCTGGACTTTGTTCCTCCTTTTTGGCACATGAGAAGCTACAAGCAATGTGGTTAACTTAAAAAAAAAAAAAGTAGTTATGGCACCATCAGATGGCGTAATGGTTACGTTGCTGGACTCCCTTGTAGTTGACCGCAGTTCAAGTCCAGGACCCAGTGGCTTAAAACTCATGCAGGGTGCATGTGTATGCCCAGAATCCCAAGAGGAGACTGGAGAGGAAGGGATTGCAGCATGGCCATCTCCTCAGGAGATGATTACTTGTTTTTGGTCTTTCTATCTCTCTAGGGAATGAATGAATGAATGAATGAATAAAGTTAAATGAAATAATTCTTTTTTAAAAAAACCCAGGTAGTTGTGGGTTTTGAAACTTTTTTTTTCTTTATCACGAAAGTGTTTGTTAGATCGTGTTTTTATACTTATAAGAATTTATTATCCAGGGACCAGCAGTTGGTATAATGGCTGTGTCACTGGACTCCCATGTAGTCGACCATGGTTCAAGTCCTGGGCCCAGTGGCTTAAACTCACACGTGGCACATGTGCATGCATGTTCAAGATCCCATGAGTAGAATGGTGGAGAAGGGATTGCGTCCGAGGCCATTTTCCCTGGGGGGTGATTTCTCGCTTTCTGTCTCTCTGTTTCTCTCTGTTTTTCTGGTGAGTGCACATGCCCTATAGCAAAAATCTCTCTCTCAAAAAAAAAGGGGGGAGTTTATTATCCAAATGGAAAAATAATGAAATTAGAATAGTGAGATGCTTGGAGATATAGGTACCAATACCATATTATTTTTAGTTTAGTTTTTATTTCTTTCTTTTAAGAGAGATTTTGCTATAGGACACGCATGCTCGCTGGAGATACAGAGAGATAGATAGAAAGCAAAAAATCATTCCCCTGGGGGATGGCCACACCACAATCCCTTCTCCATTCTTTTCTTGGGTCCGGAACTCGAATTGCAGTCAGTCGACTATGCGGGAGTCCAGTGACATAACCATTATGCCACCTGCCGGTTCCTTATTTTTCTTTCCTTTTTTTTTTTTTTTAAAGAATTACTTTGTTTAATTTTATTTTTTCATTATTTTAATTTACCAGAGAGACCCAGAGAGAGAAAGAGGAGAGAGAAAGCAAGAAAGGAAGCCACCAAGTCGAGGACTCCAACTATGGTCAGCCAACTATGGTCAGCAATGTGGGAGTGTCCACATTGCTGGACACCACGCCACCTGCTGGTCCCAAGTTTTTACTTTAATTACAGTACATTTACAGTACATCTTTACAGCATACAAAATGAACTTTCTGGACATGGGTATACTGCATATTTTTAAAAAATATTTATTTATTTATTTATTTAATTCCATTTGTTATCATTATTATTTTTCACTTTGACTAGAGAGAGAAAGGGAAGGTGAGAAAGCATGCTACCAGGTCCAGGACTTGAACCACAGTTGGCCAGTGGGAATCAAACCCCTTTAACCACTACACCCCCCAAATATACCGCATATTAGTCCAGTCAAAGATCTCACCAAAAACATTATCAACTACAGATAGTTTTTTGTTTTTGTATCTATTAAATATTTTGCTTTCCCTCCCCTTCCATCCCCCCCTTCTTAGTTTAATTGATACTTGAAAGCCTCTTGAATAACAGGGTTTATAAGATTGTGTGTAAACTTTGGGTAGTTTCCTGATTTTAAGGTGTAGGGGATTTTTTTTTTTTAATTTGCTAGAGGTCATGTGTCTCCAGATACAAAAAGAGACAGGAAGAAAGGAAGAAAGCACCCCTCCATGTGGCATGATGTGTCATAACCCATTCTCCTTCATTTCTCCATCCTATTGTGATTTGGGGCGTGCACACATATACGCCAGTGTGTTTTTCAAGTTGCCAGGGCTGGGATTCAAACTCTGGTCAGCCAGGATCCAGGTTACTTAATCAATGACTACAGGGCCAGCGCAAGAATGTTTCTATAAGCCATTACAGAAAGTAAACTAACTCTAACTGTTAAGAGGTCAGCATTGCAGGGAACCAGCAGTGAGCGTAATGGCTATGTCTCTGGACTCCCACGTAGTCGACCGCGGTTCATGTCTGGACCCGGTGGCTTAAAACTCACACCGGGCACGTGTGCGTGCGTGCCCAAGATCCCGAGAGGAGAATGGAGGAGAAGGGATTGCAGCATGACCATCCCCCCTGGGGGGTGATTTCTCGCTTTCTGTCTCTATGTCTCTCTCTGTCTGTCTGGCGAGCGCACGCGCCCTATAGCGAAAAACCTCTCCAAAAAAAAAAAAAAAGAGGTAAGCATTGCACAATGTGCAATACTATAATCTCATTAGGTTATACTCCCATATCCCAAAGTGAAATCAAAGTTGAAAGATTTAATTTAGAATAACTACAGTATTCTGTATTTTTATAAAGCTAATTTTAAACTTAGTTGATGTTAATTGAACTATGTTAGTAAATGAAATTAACAAAATGCTACAAAATTAACAAAATTAAATTTGTATTAATGTTCATGCCTATTAGAGTATTTCTAATATACAATCTGTTGAACATTTATAATCAGTTAAAGAAAAATTAATAAACACTGTAGCTGCTCTAGAAATAATTTCTTTTTGGAGAGGTTTTTGCTGTAGGGCGCATGCACTCGCCAGAAAGAGAGACAGAAAGTGAGAAATCACCCCCCAGGGGATGGCCACGTCACAATCTTCTCTCCTCTGTTCTCCTCTCGGGATCTTGGGCACGCACGCACATGCACCCGGCATGCGTTTAAGCCACCAGGTCCGGGACGCGAACCGCGGTCAACTACATGGGAATCCAGTGACATAGCCATTACGCTAACTGCTGGTCCTGATTTCTTAATTCTTTGACGTTCTCACCCCAATGATCTTTCATTTTACCTCAGCTGTCCACTCCCATATGTCTACCACCTCTCCATCAGTTTTGAAATCTACATTTCAACCATGGCTGACCGTGGTTCAAGTCCCAGACCTGGTGGCTTTCTCTCTCTCTCTCTCTCTCTCTCTCCCTCTCTGGTCAAACTGAAATAAATAAATGATTGAATAAATAAAGTTAAATAAAATAATATTTAAAAAAATTGCCAGAGGGTGCATGTGCTCACCGGAGAGCAGAAGAGAGGGAAGGTGGGAGAAAGCACCATGCATGGGGAATAGTCTGCAAACCCTTCTCCTCCATCTCCTTCCTGTTAGGGTTTTGGGCACACATCCATATGTTCCTGACATGTTTCTTAAGCTGTTGGGTCCAGGACTCGAACGGCGCGGTGGGCCACGTGGAATCCAGCAGCCTTAACCACTACTCCATGAACTGGCCCTGGTTTTATATTTTTATTGCTTTAATAATCTACAGGTGGCCCAGCCACAGTGACACAGGCAGCAGGGCACTGCCACATGATACTGGAGCCATATGGAAAGGCCTAGGTTCAGATCCTAGGCCGATCTGAATGCTTGTGGTTGTGCCCATGATCCTGACTAGCTGGAAGGCTGCAGGGAGGATCCTAGTGTGAAAAGATCCTATCAGTGTTCCTTGTTTCCCTGTCTTCTCTCTCCTTTCCTCCCCCACTTTATGAAAGAAATAAACTTTAATGGAAATAAACTATTAAGCATGTGAAACTTTATTAAAAATGCTAATTAATTGACTGGTAAAAGCATGGTAGGAGAGAGTTAGAAATGTGTAAAGTATGCATATAGATGTAAAAATCATAAATTTATGAAGTTACATATTTGTGGTAATTTGTTGGTGATTATAATTAAAGCTTTGGTAAAAGGTAATTTTTTGGCTTTGTTATAAGTTCTTAAGTGACATATGAAAAACCAATGTTTCCATAGGTTCTGCACCTCCCTTAGTGAATCCACCTCTGCCTACCACCTTTCAACCAGGAGTTCCTCAGGGGCCACCTCCAACTGGAGGCCCACCTCCAGGAAGGGCCCTCACACCTCAGAAATTATCACATAGAGCTGTACCACAGACTTCGTTTAATTCAGCGATCAACCAAGAAGGTAAGCAATTAAAAGTCCAAGTCAAGTTTCAACTTGGGGTAGAAAGATGAATATTATATGAGTTCTGTGCTTTAGAATAATTTTTTCCCCAGAAAGTATAGTTTTGGTTAGGGATAGGCTTCAAGAGTTTAGAAAATTATCAGGGAAGGGGACCAGCAGGTGGCATGGCGGTTAAGGCCCTGGACACTCCAACATGGCTAACCACGGTTCAAGTCCCGGATCTGGTCGCTTGCTTTCTCACTTTCTCTCTCTATTTTTCTCTCTCTCAGTATCTTTGATCAAATTAAAATAAATTAATGAATAAATAAGATAAAATAAGTTTTTTGGGGACCTGCAGTCGGCATAATGGCTACATCACTGGACTCCCATGTGGTCGACTGCAGTTCGCATCTTGGACCCAGTAACTTAAACTCACGCTGGGCGTGTGTGCATGCACACACAAGATCTAGAGAGGAGAAGAATGGAGAAGAGATTGCAGTGTAGCCATCCTCCCAGAGGGTGATTTCTCGCTTTCTTTCTCTGTCTTTCTGGCGAGTGCACGTACCCTATAGCAAAAAACTCTCCAAAAAAAAACCCCAAAAAAGTCCTTTTTAGAAAAAGAAAATTATCAGGGAAAACAAAAGTTTCTCAGGAATTCTTTGCCCAGAGCTGGGCTATAACTTGTGTTTAGTAAACACTGCTCTAAGTTTTTTTTTGCTCTGCACAATTTTTTTTTTAAAAAATCATTGCTGTAAAGTTAGGTGCCTTTCTGGGAACCAGCAATTAGCGTAATGGCTATGTCGCTGGACTCCCACATAGTCGACCGTGGTTCATGTCTCGGACCCAGTGGCTTAAAACTCACACTGGGCGCATGTGCGTGCGTGCCCAAGATCCTGAGAGGAGAATGGAGGAGAAGGGATTGCGGCGTGACCATCCCCCTGGGGGGTGATTTCTCACTTTCTGTCTCTATGTCTCTCTCTGTCTGTCTGGCAAGCGCACGCGCCCTATAGCAAAAATCTCTCCAAAAAAAATAAAAACTTCGGTGCCTTTCAGGATAGGTACAAGAGGAGAATTCTTGCTTTCCTGGATGGTGTTAGAACTATCCTTTTAAAATATCGACCTTTTTGGGCTGGTTTGGTGGTGTAGTGGTAACATGCTGTTTTTCAGTGAAAACTGGATTCATAGAGGAGATCGCAGGTTTGGGGACCGGGCTGCTGACCTGACCAAGCTAGGCACACATACTCATGATCATGACTGGTTGGGAAGGCTGGGGTAATCACAGCATGAGATCCTGTTGAGGATGCTTGTCTTTTCCTCTGCCTCACATGGAAGAAATAAACTTAGGGCCCTTTTCAATGAAAGAAGTATTTTGATTTGGCAATTTTATATATATTAACAAACATTTATAAAACTAAAATGTCACATGGGCAAATTTCTTTTGGAAGTTTTTGCCATAGGGTGCATGCACTTGCCGGAGAGAGAGAGAGACAGAGACAGAGAAAGAGATGCAGGGAGTGAAATTGAGAAATCACCCCCTGGGGAGATGGACACACTACAATCCCTTCTCCTCCATTCTCCTGTAATATGGGCGCACACACACCTGGCATGATTTTCAAGCCACTGGGTCTGGGACTCAGTGGTTTGGCCATGTAGGAGTCCACAACATAACTACTATGCCGTCTGCTGGCCCCTGTGCAAATATTTTAAGTTTTATGCTTTACAGCATTATTGTAGGAAGTAACTTTGAAATATATTAATTTATTTATTTAACTTTTTTGGAAAGGTTTTTGCTATAGGGCGTATGCGCTCACCAGAAAGATGGAGAGAGACAGAGAGACAGAAAGCAAGAAGTCACCCCCCAGGGGGGATGGCCACGCCACAGTCCCTTCTTCTCCATTCTCCTCAAGATCTTGGACACACACACACACGCCCAGCGTGAGTTTAAACCATCAGGCCCAGGACTCAAACCGTGGTCTGCTACTTGGGAGTCCAGTGATGTAGCCATTATGCCATCTGCTGGCCTTGAAATATATTAATTTAAATAATATATTTTATAAAGTAAGAAACTTGATTTTAGCAGTAATATAACCCATTACAACAAAATGGGGAAATATCAAAACAGGAAAGCAGAAAATATTGCCATTGCCAATGATGTCCTACTACTGAATATAATCAATATTATCTTTTTTTTTTTTTTGAGAGAGAGATTTTTGTTGTTTATAGGGTGGTGGGCTCACCAGAGAGACAGAAAGCAAAAATCACCCCCTAGAGGGATGGGCACTCCACATCCCTTCTCTTCTATTCTCCTCTTGGATTTTGGGCATGCATACCCAGCATTAGTTTTAAGCCATCCAGCCACAGTTGACTACATGGGAGAGAAAGAAAGGGAAAGTGAGAAAGTGAGCCCCCAGGTCTGGGAATGGGCAGCCATGGGAGTCTAGCCATGGGACCATGCCACCTGCTGGGCCCACCCTTGCATTTCTTTTTTTTTTTTTTTGGAGAGAGATTTTTACCACAGCGGGTATGTGCTCACTGAAGAGACAGAAAGTGAGAAATCACCCCCCAGGAGGGATGGATACACCACAGTCCCTTCTTCTTTTCCTGGGATTTTGGGCCTGCATGCACATATGCCCAGCATGATTTTCAGGTCAATAGGTCTGGAACTCAGAACTGCACAGCCAGCCATGGAAATCCACAGCCTTAACCACCATGCCATCTGCTGGCTCCTCATCTGCAGCAGAAACAGAGAGAGATAGAGAGACAGAAGGTGAGAAATCACCCCCCAGGAGGGATGGGTACACCACAGTACCTTCTCTATTCTCCTCTTGGGGTTTTGGGCATGCACACACATGCCCAGTGTGAGTTTCAAGCCACTGAGTCTGAGACTCTAGCCACAGTCAACTGCATGGGAGTCCTGTAACATAACCATTATGCCACCTGCTGGCCCCACCCAGCAGGTAAGACAAGGATTTGAACCATAGTTAGCCATATGCAATCTGGCTCCTGCTGCACTGCATTATTATTTTTTTTAATTTATCTTACTTTTATTATCATTGTTATTATATTTTCCAGTTTGGTTAGAGAGAGACAGACAGAGGGAGAGAGAGGGAAAGTGAGAAAGCAAGTCACCAGGTCCAGGACTTGAACTGTGGTTGGTTATGTGGGAGTCCAGCACCTTTAACCACCACGCCACTTGCCAGCCCCATTGCACTGCATTCTTAACCATGTGCTAAGAGGCTTGCCCCACCTGATGTTTTTCTTTGTTTCTTATTTCTTAAGATTTATTATCATTATTGTTATTTAATTTGCCACAGAGCACCCATGCTCACCAGAGAGAGACAGAGAGAGAGAGAGGGAAAGTGAGAAAGCAAGCCGCCAGGTCCAGGACTCGAATGTAGTTGGCCATGTGGGAGTCCTGCACCACAACCACCATAGCACCTGCTGGCCCCAGTTTTCTTTGTTACTACTAAAAATTTTATGAAGGTTTTCTGTATCAGTTCATGGCTAACGTCATCTTGGTCTTGAGAACTAAAAAGTCAAGTTATTGAATTTATTGAAATATTAAACTTACCTACTTTGTGTTAGTATGACTGTTAAAATTAGCATTGTGTACTTAGGTACTAAAGGTTCATGCTGTTGGCTGAATTTAATTTCTTTTGTCCCTGAATTAGAGCTTATAAATAGTGGACATACCTGAGATGAACTTTTAGCACTCATAAGTAGATGTCCCTGGCATTCATTCATTCATTCATTCATTCATTTATTAAATAATTATTTTATTTTTAACTTTATTTATTTATTTATTTATTTATTTATAATTTGACCAGAGAGGGACAGAGTGATAGGGAGAGAGAGCAAGTGAGAAGCAAGCCACCAGGTCTGGGATTCGAACTCAGCCATGTGGGAGTCCAGTGCCCTTAACCACACACCACCTGCTGACCCCATATACATTTTAATATGTATATATATATTTTTTTTTTTTGAGAGAGAGAGAGAGAGATTTTTGCATATGCACTTGCCAGAGAAACAGAGACAGAGAAAAAGTGAAAAATTACCTCCCGGGGGGATGGCCATGCTGCAATCCCTTCTCCTCCATTCTCCTCTAGAAATTTTGGGCACATGTGCACATGTGCCTGGTGTGAGTTTCAAACTACAAGGTCCAGGACTTGAACCATGGTGGGCCATATGGAAGTCTAGTGCCTTAACTACTATGCCACCTGTTGGATCTGGCATTTATCTTTTAACTGTAAAATTTTGGGAGAAAACAAGTTAAGATTTTTATTTTATTTTAGTAGTTTTTCTCTAGACTTAAAGCATTTGTTCTGATTCATTTGCATCACCTTCAAATTAACTTCACTGTGTTAGATATTTTGAAATAAGGCCTCTTCATAATTTTACTTTAAGTAGTATTTTTATTTTTTTTGCTTGTTTATTTGTTTGCTATAGGGTACTTGGGCTCACTGGAGAGAGAGAAAAGGAAAGTGGGGAAACACACCCTGGGGGGTGCTGCAATCCTTTCTCCATTCTCCTCTTGGGATTCTGGGCAGGCATGCACATACACCCAGCGACCCAGCATGTTTTTCGAGTTGCCAGGTCCGGGACTCACGCAGTGCAGTCAGCCACGTGGGATCTAGCCTCCTTAATCCCCATGCTGTTGGCTGGTCCAGATTATTTTGTTTTTCAAAGGGTATTGCTCCTTAAGGTCTTTTAATATAGCTCTCATAACTCCTGAAATCTTAGATAGTACAGATTGAACATTCCTAATCTGAAAATCCAAAATCTGAAATGCTCCAAAATTTGAAACTTGTTGAGTGCTAGCCTGACACCACAAGTGGAAAATTTCATACCTGATCTCATGTAATGGGTCATAGTCAAAACATTGCAATGCAGAAATACTGTGTAACATTACCTTTTGAGAATGTGCATGAGGTGTATATGAAACACAGATGGGGCAAACCACATGGTCTAGTAGTTAAGGAGAAAGATCCCACATCACTTAATGCTGTTTGAATCCTGGCCCTTGTGGCTTTAAAAACATGCTAGGCGCATGTACATATTTGCCCAAGGTCTGAACGGGATGGAGAAATGGAGGAAAAGAGATTGTGATGTGACTATGCCCCGTTTAGGGGTACTTTCTTCTTTCTCTATCTCTGTCTCTTGCTGATGATCACATGTGCCTTCTCGCAGTTAAAAAACAAGAAACAGGGGCCAGAAGGTGGTTAAGTCATGGTTGACAGTGGTTCTAGTCCCAGACCTGGCAATTTGTAAATCACACTGAGCACATGTGCGTGCATGCACAAAATCCCAGGAGAATGGAGAAAGGCCATCTTCGTTGGGGAGTGATTTCTCACTTTCCCTCTCACTGTCTCTGTGTCTACAGTGAGCACATACACTCTATGGCAAAAACCTTAAAATAGGGGCCAGCAGATGGCATAATGGTTACATCGCTGGACCCCCCCATGTAGTCGACCACAGTTCGAGTCCCAGACACGTGATTTAAACTCTATACCAGGCGTGTGTGTGTACCTGCCCAAAATCCCAAGAGGAAATGGAGAAGACAGATTGTAGAGTAGCCATTTCCCCTAGGAGGTGATTTCTCCCTTTCCATCTCTCTGGCAAACGCATGTGCCCTAAAGCAAAAATCTCTTTAAAAAAAAAAAAAAACCTTAAATAAACAAACAAATTTAAATGCATTTTGTTTTTATACTTGTGTCTCATCTCCAAGATATCTCATTATATATATGCTATTGTATGATATTAGAAAAAATACCTTAAAATCCAAATCATTAATGAGCCCCAAGCATTTTGGATAAGGGATACTCAGCCTGTCTATAATCTTGTGAACTCCACAGAGGACAATCCGTTTTTAGATATTATTTTGTTAGAGTTAGGTTTTGAAAAGCCTTACTGTTTTGTGTTTTGACTTAGGCCCAAGGAAGGGGTGGAGAGAAGACTCCTTTTAGAGATCGTGTTTCTTTTTCCTGAAGCTATAGCTGATTTTGAAACATTTGTGTATTTTAAAGCTTATTTTAATTTTTTATTTCAATGTTTGACATTTTTGACAGGCTGTAGTTTAAACTATTGTTTGGAAAGTTTTCTAAAATTTAGATATTAGTTCAAATCTTGTAGAAAATGGTAATAATTTTTATAATTTAAATCTTGTTAATGAACTTCTTTCTTAGGTATTACATCGAATACCAATAACGGATCTATGGTGGTCCACAGTAGTTATGATGAAATTGAAGGAGGTGGTTTCTTGGGTAAGATGCTATAAAAGTTTTGTTTTTCTTTTTAATCTGTTTTCTGATTATAGAAGTAATATGTTCTCATTGTAGGAATCTGTGCTCATTGGAAATTAAGATGAAAACTTTGTATTATATAACCCCAGGGGGGATGGCCATGCCGCAGTCCCATCTCTTCCATTCTCCTCTTCGGATCTTGGGCACACACATGCGCGTGCCTGGCGTGAGTTTAAGCCATTAGGTCTGGGACTCAAATCGCAGTCCACTACATGAGAGTCCAGCGACATAGCTATTATGCCACCTGCTGGTCCCTTCTTTTTTAAAATTTTGCCAGTGGACAGACCCATGCACTTGCCAGAGAAAGAGAGAGGGAGAGAAAGAGAGAGAGCATGAGAAAGCATGTCCTCCCAAGGGAAATGGTCATGCTGCAATCCCTCCTCCATCTCTCCCCTATTTGAGGCTTTTAGGCAAGCGTGTGTACATATACACCCCACTCTAAGGTGTATTTTTCAGGCTACCAGGTCTGTACTTGAACCATGCTGTTGACCATGTGAAATGAAACCATCTTAACTACCACTCCATGGGCTGGCCAACAATAGAGTATTTTATCATTTATATTTATTTAAATTTATTTAGCCAGTCCCCTAATTTTTTTTTTTTTTTTTGGAGAGGTTTTTGCCACAGGGCACGCGCACTCACCAGAAAGACAGAGAGAGACAGAAAGTGAGAAATCACCCCCCAGGGGGGATGGCCATGCTGCATTCCCTTCTTCTCCATTCTCCTCTCAGGATCTTGGGCACACACGCACATGCACTGATGTGAGTTTAAGCCACTGGATCCAGGACTTGAACCGCAGTCGACTACATGGGAGTCCAGCGACATAGCTATTATGCCAACTGCTGGTCCTGAGAATTAAAATTGTAGTCTGAACACAAAATTGAGTACATAATATAAAAATGTATTAACTATGCCACACATATTATAGCTATCATCTACATTAACTAGATTTGAATCATTGTTAGTATCTTGTCACTAGTGTTTGTCTTATTTTACAAATTGACTAATTAAAATATTAAATTATCCAAAGAATTTTGGAATTATAATTTTCTATCATTTAAATGAATTATATGTTGATGTATCCTGGTGTATAAAGTAAAACTTGAAAGTTTCTTTATTTCCAGCAACACCACAACTTTCTAATAAGAATCCCCAAATGAGCCGAAGTGTTGGATATTCATATCCCTCCTTACCACCTGGTTATCAGAATACAACATCACCTACTACAACTGGAATGCCATCCTCTTCCTTGAATTACCCAAGCGGGCCACAGGCCTTTACTCAGGTAAACTTTTTTTTTCTTTTAGGAAAATGTATTTTCCATTTTTTTTTAAAAGAATTATTTTATTGGGAACCAGCAGTTAGCGTAATGGCTATGTCGCTGGACTCCCACGTAGTCGACCGCGGTTCGCATCCCGGACCCGGTGGCTTAAAACTCACACCAGGTGCGTGTGCGTGCGTGCCCAAGATCCCGAGAGGAGAATGGAGGAGAAGGGATTGCGGTATGACCATCCCTCCTGGGGGGTGATTTCTCACTTTCTGTCTCTGTGTCTCTCTCTTTCTGTCTGGCGAGCGCACACGCCCTATAGCGAAGAAAACCTCTCAAAAAAAAAGAATTATTTAACTTTATTTATTTATTTTAATTTTGGCCAGAGCGGGACACAGTTTGAGAGGGGAGAGCAAGAGTGAGAGACAGTGAGAAAGTGAGAAAGCAAGCCTCCAGGTCCAGGACTCGAACCATGGTTGGCCATGTGGGAGTCCAGGACTCTTAATCACCACGCCACCTGTGAGGACCCCCTTATTTTCCATTTTTAAATTTAAGCTGTATGCACATGAAGAACATTTTTGGAAAGTATATTAAACATTTTGTAGCCAATTAGAATAGTAATGGACATTTTATAGAGCCTTTGTTTTTATATATGTCTTCAATATCAGTAGCTTGGCCAGGAAATATAAATTGATGACACTTTTGTTTTTAGAGAGAAATTAACCATGTCACTACAGACTTATAAAGGTTACTTACTTTGACATTATGTACCTTTAGACCCCTTTAGGTGCTAATCATTTAACTGCAAGCATGAGTGGATTAAGTCTACATCCAGAGGGTCTAAGAGTCATCAATCTTCTTCAAGAAAGAAACATGCTTCCATCAACACCTTTACAGCCTCCGGTTCCAAATTTGCATGAAGACATCCAGAAACTCAACTGTAACCCAGAGTAAGGCTTAAATAGTGTTTCTTATTAACTGTGACATGCATTTTCCAAGTTTTTTAAAGTTTTTTTTGAACTTTAAGTATTATGAATATGCTGTACATTATATTGACTTATGAAAGAAATTCTGGATATAGGAGATAGAACTCTTATTACTTGCTTACTTGAGGTGTGAAATATTCTAAGTAGGGTTTTAACCCCTAATTGCTGCTCTCAACTCTATATACTTTTTTGATGGCTACATTCTATCTTCAAAGTCCAGATTTTATATAATTCTTTATTCTCATTTTAAATTGATCTCATAACAAACAGAACAATAATACTGCTTTCTCCCCCCAAAATTTGAAATAAATGTATATGTATGTGGTGATGATAAATTGAATTTTATTTTTAAATAGTTTTAGAACCTTCAGTGTAAACTTTAAAGTAATAAACTTTGCATTTGCAAATTTGTGTTATCATCTATCAATAGTAATTCCAGTGTAATCTAGATTTATACCAAGAAACATAAGTCATTTGATATTCCAGAGAAGGCAAGAAGAGACTGTGTTTGTGTTCTATAATATACAAACACTATCTACTCTTTTTCTGAGTAAGTCTTAGACTTAAATATTTTAATGGGATAAAGCTTGAGAAAGTCTATTGAAATATTTCATTTGTAATCTGATCCAATATTAAAATGTGTACCTTGGAAATCTTTTTTTGGTCCAAAAAACATCAAAGCAGTAACCCACACATGCTTTTTACTTTGATATAGGTTATTTCGATGCACGCTGACTAGCATTCCTCAGACTCAGGCCTTACTGAATAAAGCCAAACTTCCTTTGGGGCTACTGCTTCATCCTTTCAAAGACCTCGTGGTATGTTTCTCTAGTGAAAGTAATTGTCTAGTGAAAGAAATTAAAGTTTGAGTTGCTTGAGGAACCTAACCATTGACATATCTCTTTATTTGTAATTCAGCCCAAATTTTAGTACCAGGTACTTTCAAAATAAGAATATAATTGAAAGACCCAAGAGATACTGAATAGAAGTACTGAAAAAAAATAAATAAATGAGTTCAGCTCTGTAACGCAGTGGTTAAGTGCAGTGCCTAGGGAACCGGATCCCTTGTGGCTCACCGTGGTTCAAGTCCTAGCCCCAGAAGCTTGTAAAACATACCAGGCAAGTGTGCATGCATGCCCCAAATTCTGACAGGATGGGAAAATGGAGAAGAGATTGTAACATGACCACACCCCACTGATGATTTCTCCCTTTCCCTCTCTCTTTCTTTTCCTCACTCTGTCTCTCTCGCCGTCTTTGTCGGGTGAGTGCATCCTCCTGGCAATTAAAAAAAAGAAGGGCAGCAGGTGGCATGGATGCTAATGCAGTTGGATCCCACATGGCCGACTGTGTTGTCTGAGTCCTTGACCCAGTTACTTGAGAAACGCTGGGTACTTGTGTATGAGTGGCCAAAATCCCAAGAAGAAAATGGAGAAGGGATTGCAGCATGGCCATCCATTCCTCCTGGGGAGTGATTTCTCACTTTCCCTGTCTCTGCCTGCCTGTCTCTTAGGAGTGCATGTCCCCTATAGAGAAAAACTGAAAAGAGAAATAGATAAATAGAATAAATTGTTTCAGAGGAGGCCTCATATCCTAGTGATTAATGATTAATGGAGTCAGATCCCACATGGCTGACCTGGGTTTGAATCCTGGTCCCAGCAGCTTGAAAAACATTGGGCATGTGTGGGTGCATGTCCCAAATCCTGACAGGATAGAGATATGGAGGAGTAGGGATTATAATGTGTCTCTACTCCATTAAGTGCTATTTCTTCTCTGTGTGTCCCTCTCTCTCTCTCTCTGATGAAGACTCACACTCACATGCAATTTAAAAAAAGTTATTTCAAAAGTAAAACAAAGCTGATCCACCTTCATTTTAAGGCTCTGGGCCTTTGGGCATATACATAAACTCTTGAGAATCAGTGCATGACGAGATGAGTTTTCCAAAACAAATCTTATTTGATAAGATTTTATTGCCTTTGCTGGTTTTTTACATTAATACTTTAGAACTTTCATATATAGGACAAACTTTAAAATAGGAGCATAATTACAATGTTTAATTGAATATTTAAATATAGTTTAACCTTCCTTTACATTATAACAGCTTTTTCTTTTAATTTGCTATGGGGTAGGTGTGCACGCCAGAGATACATGAGGGAGAGAGAGAGGATGGGTTGAGGAGTAAGAAAACACCAGTTCCAGATGGATAGCCACACTGCAATCCCTTCTCCTTCACTTCTTCCCCCTTTTGGGATTTTTAAACACACATCCACACACACCTAGGTTGTTTCTCAAGTTGCCAGGGTTTGGGACTTGAACCACACAATCAGCCGTGTGGGATCCAGCCGTCTTAACTACCACACCACAGGCTGGCCCTCCTCTAGGTTATTTTCTCCAAAATTATATCCTAGCAGTTTTTTGGAAGGGGTGGGTTAGTGTTTGCCCTTTCAACATGATGATAATCGCCTTTAAACACTTTTGTTTCTTTCAGCAATTGCCTGTGGTCACCTCCAGTACTATTGTGAGATGCCGTTCATGCAGGACTTACATTAATCCTTTTGTGAGCTTTCTCGATCAAAGGAGGTGGAAGTGTAACCTATGTTACCGAGTCAACGACGGTATGCTTTTTCTGAAATGTTTAAAAATTTCTACTTGTTGGGAACCAGCAGTTAGCATAATGGCTATGTCGCTGGACTCCCACGTAGTCGACCGTGGTTCACGTCCTGGACCCGGTGGCTTAAAACTCACGCCAGGCGCGTGTGCGTGCATGCCCAAGATCCCAAGAGGAGAATGGATGAGAAGGGATTGCGGCGTGACCATCCCCTCTGGGGGATGATTTCTCGCTTTCTGTCTCTCTGTCTCTCTCTGTCTGTCTGGTGAGCCCACACGCCCTATAGCGAAAAAAACCTCTCCAAAAAAAAAAAAAAAATTCTACTTGTTTCATAAGGAAATCAGATGATAAAATGTGAAGTTTTTTAAAAAGAACAAGCCTTCTTATCTGTAATCAGTTCTTCCACTCAGAGAAAACTGTTAACTTTCTTCCATACATTTATATTTGTAAATAAGTAATTATATACTTTTCAAGCAAAATGTGATGATAGTATTACATTGATGTCACTTTTACATTTATTATATTGGGGTTATAATAAATGGCATATTACATGGTATTATTTAAGCTGGTAATTTAAGCATTTTTTTTTATTTATTTAGAAATTATCCCATACCTTTTCTCTAGGGTGGAAGGAAATAAGTCCACAGAATAGCTGCCTAATTCATTCACTGCTGTATGAAGGGAGGTGTGGGCAATGCTAGAAGGTTAGTTGAATATAGTTTTTGCAGTAATTGAGGAGGAGGAGGAGATCTCTCTCAGTATCTATTTTACAATTTATGTTCGAGGAATATCATCTAACTTGTGCCATTCTATTGGGATTAGAGAAGAAAATGGGTATTGTTAATAATATCGACATTGAAAATTAGTTATCTGTTTGGAAGGAAATTTCATTAATAGTTGGGAAATAGAGAAGTATAAGAAACTTTTAGTAACTAGTTTTGTTTGTGTGTGTGTTTTAAGATGAGAGAAAAATGAGGGTAGGATAAGACCATTCTTTCACTCTATAATAACTCAGAAGAAGGAGCCAGCAGGTGGTGTGGTTGAGGCGCTGGACTTCCACATGGCTGACCATGGTTCAGATCCTGGACCTGGCGGCTTGGTTTCTCTCTCTCTCTGTCTTTCTCTAGTAAAATTAAAATAATAATGGTGGATAAAATTAAATAAAATAATTCTTAAAAATTAAGAAGATGTTGCTTAATGCTTAGTACAACTTTAAAATCTTGTTTGCACTTCAGTGTATGAAATCAAATAGTAATAAAGGTTGGAGTTCTTTCAAATGCAGACCTGCCCATTTCATGAACTATAGCTTACCATTTAGAGTACATAAGGATCTGAACTTCTAGACAGTTACTGGGAAAACGGGTACAATAATAATTTGGAAAACATCTTTTTTGAGTACTAGTACTCAAAGTGGTGTCAGTACTTAGAGTGGTGCTCAAAAGCGGTAGGCAACTGATGGACCATAAAGGTCTTGTTAATGAGTGAAGGTCACTGGCCTTTTGAGCCACTCTTTCTCTCTTTGCTTAGGCCTGCTCCTAACTCTCAGGAGTGTATTTTTACTTAATAAACTTCCTTTTCCTTACACTAAAAAAAAAAAAAAAAAATAGTGAAGGCCACTAAACAGTCTAGCTTTAACTTCTGAAATAGTTTTTTTCCCCTTTAGAGGTTTTTGCCTTAGGGTGTGTGCACTTGCTGAAGAAAGAGACAGTGACAGGAAAAGTGAGAAATTACCTCTCAGTGGGTATGCTCACGCCACAGTCCCTTCTCCTTCATTCTCCTCCCGGAGAATATCATGCCACATATACTGACACCTGGGATGCTTTTCAGGCCACTGGGTCCAGGATTCAAACCTCGGTCAGCCATGTGGGAGTCCAGTGATGTAACAGCTATGCTATCTGCTGGACCCCTGAAATAGTTTTATAATAGCTTTCTAGGTCTAGCCAGAGTTTGTATATTTCATATGGCAAATGTTAATATCCAAGTGTAATTGGGAAATTTAAGAAAGTAATTGGCATCTAATGAGTTTTTAATGATCTTTTCAAACTATTTTAGGAGAGCAACATTAGCAAGAGTTAAGAAAAAGACAATCATCAGGGAATAGGAAAAATCTCAATGATTATATCAGGTTGTCAATAAAGTCATGACACATTTTTCTATGGAAAATGCGTCATGATTTATCCAACAACCCAATGGTTGTAAAAGCAAAACATATTTAGTACTATTCAGTATGTGAAATACTTGAATGGAACTTTTTAAAAAAAAGTTATCGCTTAATATTTAGCCTATACTGAATTATTTATAACCCCTTAAGAAAATGGTCAAATGCAACATATATTAAATTAACCCTTTCAGTTTTTATCAATATATGTGTATATATATTGTTAACTTTATATAGTTCCTGAAGAATTCATGTACAACCCTTTGACCAGAGTTTATGGAGAACCTCACAGAAGACCTGAAGTTCAAAATGCTACTATTGAGTTTATGGCTCCTTCAGAATACATGGTAAGCTTCCTTTTTTTTCTTTTAATATAACAACTCATTTCATAAAACTATGTTTAAATAAGATCACATGGCATCCTTTAACAAAATGTTAAGTTTTTAAGTGTATAGAAGTGTAATATGTGTTTATCATACAAAAGTACTTAATTGGCATAATTAATCGACTTGAAAAGTAAAAGTGTAGGTAAAGTTCCACTTAAGTTTCTCATGTGTCCACTCAGAAATGTGTAATAAAATATCAGGGTTGTATTTGTTTTTTTCTTTATTTTTAGGAATTATTTATTGGGCCTAGTAGGTGGCATGGTAGCTAAGGTGCTGGATTACCACATGGTCAACTGTGGTTCGAGTCCTGGCCTGGTGGCTTGCTTTCTCTCTTAACTCTCTCTGTCTCTCTTTGTGGGGAGCATGTGTGCTCTGTAGCAAATTTAAAAATAACAATAATAAATTAAAAAATAAAAAGAATGATTTTTAATTTATTTTTATTTATTACTATTATTTTTTAAATTTGACCAGAAAGAGAGAGAAAAAGGGAAAGTGAGAAAGCAAGCTGCCAGGCCTAGGACTTGAACCTCAGTTGGTCTTGAGAGAGTCCAATGCTAAGCAAGCTGCCAGATCTAGGACTTGAACCTCAATAGGCCTTGTAAGAGTCTAGTGCCTTAACCACCATGCCACCTGCCAACCCTAAGGGGTCATACTTACTTTAAAGTCGCATCTAGGTTTTTTTTCTATTACAAATAATGGTGAAGAACATCCTCTCATAAGTATTTTTATACACTTGTGAGAGTATCTGAAATCTTGCATTTAAGAAATAATTATGCCTAATGCTTAGTTAGCACTTTACATTTATACTGCACTGTATTTTTTTAAAGAATTATTTTATTTACCTTTATTTATTCCTTATTTATTTTAATTTGACCAGAGAGGGACAGAGAGAGAGAGAGAAAGTGAGAAGGCAAGCCGCCAGATCTGGGACTTGAACCACAGTCGGCCATGTGGGAGTCCAGCGCGCTTAATCACCACACCACCTGCTGGCCCCCTACTGCACTATATTTTTGATCATCACAAACAAGGCTCTGAAGTAAGGTATAGAAATGTTCATCTGTTTTGCAGTGTGAAAAGAGATTTAGGTTGTGATTTGAGAAAGGTCACGTAAGTGGTAGAACTTACATAAAAATCCAGGTCTTTTGATTTGGTTTTCTTTTAGTGTTCCATAATTGCCTCTTGGAGAAGGAGAATGTGAAGATAAGACTAAACACAAACATTCCATATTTTAGTATATCTTTGTGGCATAATCTTTAGCTGGACAATTGGGTCCATTTTACTGTGGAACTTATGAGGGGTCAGTTTCTTTTCACTGCAGAGAAGTTTCATTGTAGAAAACATTTTCTGTCATTTAAGTATTTTATATTAGTTTTCTACAGTATAGCTGCCCCTTTATTGAATTAAAGTTTTAAAAGCAGAAGTATTTGTTTTGAAGTAGCTTTTCTGGATTCCTTTTATATTCCAGGTTTTGCAAAAATTGATTTCTTTAAATTTGGAAAACTGTCTGTAGCCAAAGGTGTTTTGTTCCTTCCTGATTTATCTCTTGGGTAGCAGATTCTGTAAAATTTGGCAATTGATATGTGCAAAAAAAAAATTTTTTTTGGAGAGGTTTTTGCTGTAGGGCATATGCACTCTTTTTTGTTTTGTTTTGTTTTTGGAGAGATTTTCACTGTAGGGCGCGTGCGCTCGCCAGACAGACAGAGAGAGACATAGAGACAGAAAGCGAGAAATCACCCCCCAGGGGGGATGGTCAC